CGTAGACGTAACGTTATTGTGTTGTAATCGTATTCGGAAATGTGCAAAGACAATGAAATTTTGATCGAATACTAAATTATGAATTATTTCATACGATATTATTGAATTTATTATTATTATTATTGATATCAGAAATGNCATAAAATTAACGATTAAATTTTTAATTTAACCGATGTACAATTGCTATAAACTAAAGTTTAATCATTAATTGGATTAATTATATTAACTATTAAAATTCTTTTCATCGTAAAATAAATATTCCAGTGCTCAGTTATCAAATGCTGTTACATTTCTGTTACTTTCTTATTGCAATTTAAACATTTATCAAGATAATCAACTTGTTGACAACTTCAATTAAATATTAACAATTAATCCTTTTAATCAACGGTTCATATATATATTAATCGCTCGNTTAATTGGATTAATTATATTAACTATTAAAATTCTTTTCATCGTAAAATAAATATTCCAGTGCTCAGTTATCAAATGCTGTTACATTTCTGTTACTTTCTTATTGCAATTTAAACATTTATCAAGATAATCAACTTGTTGACAACTTCAATTAAATATTAACAATTAATCCTTTTAATCAACGGTTCATATATATATTAATCGCTCGCGATTAACTGTTTTTAATTGTTAAGCGTGACTTATTAATAAAATTAAAAATTATAATCGATTAATGCCGAACTCTGATCGTATGTGAATTCTGTTATGATCGATCGGTAATGATAGTTGCTAGCCGAAGGGCGCTATGTAGTCGCTGCCATCGCAGTGTGTAAAACATGGCTTTGTTGTCATCGTAAACGATGTGCTGTGTCGCTTAGAGCCAAGTAATTTCTATTAATATACTTAATTAAATTAATGAAAGCGTGGCATGCGCTCGAGCGGATTGCTATTTTATTCATCAGCCTGGATGGACATGTCATTCTCAGTTAACGTTTGAACAGAGTGAAAGTTATGGTTGATGCAGTGCAAGAGGTTAGGGATCCTCTGTCAACAGACAGTAAAGGTAATCAGTTTTTTATACTTGCGTTCGCTAAAACAGTTAACATTTTCTATCGTGAGAATTAGTATTTCGATGTTATACCGAATAAAAAACCTGAAAATGAGAAATCCTTTTAACGAATTTATTATACTCGCTAGTAGAATGTATACACGTCATCGGTAGCTGGAACATGTACAAATTATCCTAGAATAATTACCGATAGCACGACTTTTCATAGAAATCGGTAAAATTTGTTTTATTACTTTAGGATACCCGGCCTCGAAAACATGTATATCTTACGAAGATATCGCTACAAAGCTTCTAAACGACAAATTTCTATTAACGGCCTTGGAGCTACATGCGGAATTGCGCGAAGCAGGGAAAGAATTACTTGTTTTACAAGAATTCTTCTCGAATCCATGTAATTTTGAAGGTCAAAACATCAAGCCGGAACCATTTCCTTGTATGCGTATGTATAATTCATCTGCATCAAGAATTAATTATATTTAAGATATAATTACCATATCAATAATGTTAATGTAATTATTAATATCTATTTTAAGTTTATTAATTGGTTCCTTAATAACTTTGGTATAAAAGAAGCTTGATAATTTTCTTTTAAATAATGTGAAATACTATCTTTATATTATTAAATGTAACTTGTTGATTTACAAATAAATAGCTATTATAGATAGTAGCTAATTCGATTGCTAAAGCAATACTTTTAATTCCTGAAGGAAATTATTACATTATATTCCTTAGAATGATCTTTTAATAAAAAATATTAAATAATTGCCAACAGGTAATGTATCAATCGTTTAAGTGATAGGTCAAAAAGATATAATCTTCCTATTTTAATTTACCCAGCTAGATCATCCAGTCAGGCTACTTTAGATTCACTTGATATGACAAGATACTCAGAAGATGGTGCAGGTGTTGATGAGAGAGTTGCAATCTTAGAATTTGAACTTAGAAAAGCCAAAGAGTGTATTTCTGCTCTTCGTACAAATCTCACTGTAGTCACAGGTTATTTTCTTTTTATTATATGAATATTGTGTTTGAAATTGTATCTTAACTGCTATCTCACTATTTTAGAATCAGATGTACCAACACCAGATAAATGTTCTGATAAACATTCTGTCAATGAATCACCTATAAAGCCTCACGAGCAAAGAGCTTTAAACTTCCTTGTTAACGAATATTTATTAACACGTTCGTACAAATTGACATCGATTACATTTAGCGACGAAAATGAAAATCAAGATTTCGAAGATTGGCAAGACGTGGGATTGAATATCCCCAAACCTGCGGAATTGTTACAAATTTATAGAGAATATATGCGAGCTAATGGCTACGAGAAAGCGCCCTCGACCATTATTGGTGTGCAAACAGACTTTGATGAAGTTGAATTAGAATCTGAGAAAGATGAATTTAAGCAAATGGTACGTTAAAACGAATTATGTCTGTCATTGAGTGAAAACAATTTAAATAATTGTGTAATTCACAGGTCAAAGAATTGGAAGAACTAAAACAACAAACTGCTATGCTAGAGCAGGAAAAGGTGGATTTACAACAAATTATTGCAACAACAAATGAAAGTTTATCACAGAATCCAACCAAGGTACCGCATAAATATATAGGACAATTTTTTTAAATATATTTTGCCCTCTCGGTTTCTGTAGCTGACTTGTACTTTCTGTAGCAAGGTAGTAGTGGAACGATACAAACGTTGAATTCGAGTTCTACAACTCCAGATAAATTTGAGTTGCTTGAAACACCGCCTCGAGATACATCGACAGCGACACATGAACCAGAGGAAGATGATAGTGTGTCTGTGGTTGTCAGCCTCGGCGAGACTGATCCCGGTGACAAGGAATGGACGAGAATTCAGTTACCAAGAGTAGACGTTACCGAAGGGTCGTCCATCCTTCCAAATCCTCCATCTAGGTATTTTATTTGTACATAAATACAATAAAATTGATTCTCTTCTAAAGGTAACTTGAAATATATTATTTATAGACATTTACCGCTGAAATTCAAGATGGAGGTGATAACCCATTGTTTAGTAAATATTCCAAGTTCTATTGTTTCTACAGCAGAAGAACCCTTCAAAAATGGAGTAACGCGAGATAATCTCGTTCACATTTTGGCGGAAACTTTACCTCGCATTGTACCCAACGTCATACTTAATAAGCGCGAGGAAGTAATACCGTTGATATTAAGTGTAATCCGGCTGCACACTGAATCCGCGGAAAGAGAGAAATCTCTACAGCTTTTGTTCAATTTGAAGAAGAGGCCACAAGAAGATGAAAGACACTTGATACTAGCTGGTTAGGGTATAGAACAATTTATGTTGTTTTCTGTAATATGCAGAGATTACTATTCGTTGTATTATCAGGTTTAGTTGCAATGGCGAAGCTTGAGAACGATCCAATGGAAGGAGAAGAAATTTTAACCATTTGCTGGGAACAGAGTCAGTACAAATATCCTGAAAAAAGGTTACTAGCTGTGGAGTGTTGTTGCGCATTGGCACCCTACATGTCGGTCGGAATCAGGAACTCCTTGATGCTTTCTATGTTGCAACAAATGTTACTCGATGACAAGGATCCTATGGTCAGAGCGTGTGTTGTGAGGAGTCTTGCATTGCTCATAGCTTTAATGGATGATCCCGACAAATATTTTCAGGTAATATATCCCACATTATAAATGTAAGATATTCTGTAAAGCATGAGAATATATTATACATTTTATGATTATTTATTTAGTGCGAAGAGTTGGCGTTAACTGCGTTAAACGATTCATCGCCCATCGTTGTAGAAGTCGCGTCCACTTTACTTTTACCAATTTTAGCCCAATGGGCACTCTCTTTGAAGAGGTTGCAAACACATTTGTTACCACGCATAATATCAAAAGTGAAAACTCAATTGAAGTCTGGACAGTATCAACATTCACCTAACAAGGATCATATTAACGAGGGAAGAACAGTGTCGTCGATTCACGTTTTACAATATTTACTACCTCATATGATCATCTGCGTAGCCGATACGGATGCAGTTAGAACGTGCATAGAACCTGGAACATCATCTCACTTGTGTAAATATAATACTTACTAACGTAAGGTGGGTTTAGATAACTATCAATTTATTTTTCAATTTTATTTCGTAGCCGATGTGTTTCTATACTTGTGTCAGACCGATATCGTTAATCCAAAAGTATTTTATGAGGGAGATATAGATGTCGGAGCACTTTTGAATACATTCTTTGCTAATACGTGGGAAAATGACACGTGGCCGGAATTAGAGTGGTTCACAAATAAATTGTATGCTTTTTAATGGTAAATGTTTTATGGACTTTTCACATATGTTAATGCTTATTGTGTTTTAGAGTAATGGAAATTTTAGAAATGGTCAAATCTATAGAAATTACACACGAAACCATTTTGCACACTCTACTGACATACATTCGTTCGTTGTGTTTGGGTTTTGGACGATATATTACGCAAACACGGGTAATTTCAATGTTCCAGTTACTCGATAACACTGTCCAGCACCAACTTTGGTTGTTACGACGCAACTAAAAAGTTAACATTTGTTGGATAGTGTAATAGTAATCGTACTTCTATAATAAACATGATTTATTAACATTTAGATTCAGCCGATATTTGCGTCCGACGTGTCCGAGCTCGAGCAGCAGTTGACAGTGTTGTCGACAGAGAAGAAAAACATGAATTTAACGATAATGCCTACGTATTTAATTCTATTGTCCACTTTGAATGGTACAGAAGTTGCTAAATCGTTGAAAGAATTCCTTGTTGCTTTGTCCATGAGTGGTATCAGTATTACTTGCTTACAAATCGCAGTAATTATGTTGTGTGCTGACGAACATATGCAAGAATATGTCCTTAGCGGTTTATGGGATGGTTAGTTCCATTGATCATTATGACTAGTGATTGCGTTCAGTTTTTAGCGGCACTTTAGCGACTCAGTTACACCTTCCATCCCCCTTTTTTATAGGGGTAGTGCACCAAAGACCTGTTGTAAGATGTGCAACTGCGACGATATTTGGTTGTGTGATAGCTCATGTTTCCGATCGGTTAGCAAGTGCTAAGGTAGTTCCAGCAATTGTAACACTCGTTAGTGATCCTGATATGTAAGACATATTTGTAAATATTTTCGTATAGTCGTCTATCAGATCTAAAAACTCGATTATTAGTATTGCATTATTAATTACAATAATGTAATGATTTTCTGCTTTTAGGACCGTCCGTTGTGCGGCAATTCCTTCACTAGGTCGACTGATAACAGAATGTAAAGTGAAAGAAATGAGGGATAAAGCACGTCTGACGTTGGAAACTATCGCCAAGGAACCTCAAGGTGTTCCTCCAGCTTTAGCGTTACCACTAGTTTCCACTTTAGCACTCATTGCTCCGAATTGTCCTCAAAATTACATCGAGGATGGTAAGAACTCCTTAATTTTCATATTTCTAACAGTGTTCATATCAAATTCAAGATATACAGGGTGTCCCCAAAATGTCTCGCATTACGGAAATGTGGGGTAGCTGAGATCATTCTAAGTAACTTTTTTCTTTGCAAAAATACAATCTACGGCTTTGTTTACGAGTTATTAATGAAAAACACCGACCAATGAGACACAATGGCTGTCTCTTATACACATCTTAGATGTGTATAAGAGACAGGTTTGTATATATATATATATATATACAAACCTGTCTCTTATACACATCTTAGATGTGTATAAGAGACAGGTTTGTATATATATATATATATATACAAACCTGTCTCTTATACACATCTTAGATGTGTATAAGAGACAGGTTTGTATATATATATATATATATACAAACCTGTCTCTTATACACATCTTAGATGTGTATAAGAGACAGATTTCTAACAGTGTTCATATCAAATTCAAGATATACAGGGTGTCCCCAAAATGTCTCGCATTACGGAAACGTGGGGTAGCTGAGATCATTCTAAGTAACTTTTTTCTTTGCAAAAATACAATCTACGGCTTTGTTTACGAGTTATTAATGAAAAACACCGACCAATGAGACACAATGGTGCGAAACACAACATGGTCAATCGATCGAGTGCCATGTGCTCCAACCACTGATTTTGACAACTGAAGGGGAACTCTGTGCCGTGTTCAAATCAATGAACAAGTCACGGAGCATGAACTTTCGATATTTCTTTTTTACCACGTGGCAGTGGTAATCTTAAGAAAAACGCTGTTCATCCTCTTATTTCAGAATGTCTGAAAAATATTTACTAATTTTTCGGACCCGAAATAATAAGTATGGCAAGGTGAAGATTAACAAAGTTCGAAAATGTTAATTTATTAAATTTTAATTTAAATAATTCCGCGTCTGAACAGAATTCAACGAGCGATTCGCAAAGCTCTAATTTAATAAATAATAATCGTGTTAAAGGACGTAAGAGATTTGTTTCATAGAGAAATATGAAGAATATTATCAATAAGAAACTCACCCATTTAGTTGTAAATCCACTACATGATCGGAAATGTGTGTTGGAGGATAGTGCATTGACCTCGAACAATGTATGATGAACTGCACAGCTGATCTGTATCCGACGGCGACGAACAGAAGGATGTTTCCAGGCAGGCTATTCCAACGGTCACTTTTACTACATTATCACTAAACACTGATCACATATCAATAATATCTGCGGACGAACTTTCCTGGGTTAATATGTATGGCCCTGAAAAGAGCCAATTTTTTAATGCTGCGCGTTCAAAGTTCGTATCGTTAACAACACGCATTGCGTACGAACTGCAGCAGATTGGCACGATGGCCGACAATGTTTCGTTTTCCTACGATCGAGTTTCAACTGTTTCCCATCGGACGCGAACATTGTCGGCCATTCTGCAGTTCGTCTCGAGCATTAATATGAAAAGGACGTCGCGTGAGAATTTTCTGAATTATTCTTGTACGGTGCGATCAATTTGTTTACTCTAAGGATGCTGCAAAGGGTTCCGGAGATCATTACGAAATGTGTCAACGCAGTGCGTGTTGTTAACGGTGCGAACTTTGAACGCGTCGCATTAAAAAATCGGCTCTTTTCGGGGCCATACATATTAATCCAGAAAAGTTCGTCCGCAGATATTATTGATATGTGATCAGTGTTNCACAGCTGATCTGTATCCGACGGCGACGAACAGAAGGATGTTTCCAGGCAGGCTATTCCAACGGTCACTTTTACTACATTATCACTAAACACTGATCACATATCAATAATATCTGCGGACGAACTTTCCTGGGTTAATATGTATGGCCCTGAAAAGAGCCAATTTTTTAATGCTGCGCGTTCAAAGTTCGTATCGTTAACAACACGCATTGCGTACGAACTGCAGCAGATTGGCACGATGGCCGACAATGTTTCGTTTTCCTACGATCGAGTTTCAACTGTTTCCCATCGGACGCGAACATTGTCGGCCATTCTGCAGTTCGTCTCGAGCATTAATATGAAAAGGACGTCGCGTGAGAATTTTCTGAATTATTCTTGTACGGTGCGATCAATTTGTTTACTCTAAGGATGCTGCAAAGGGTTCCGGAGATCATTACGAAATGTGTCAACGCAGTGCGTGTTGTTAACGGTGCGAACTTTGAACGCGTCGCATTAAAAAATCGGCTCTTTTCGGGGCCATACATATTAATCCAGAAAAGTTCGTCCGCAGATATTATTGATATGTGATCAGTGTTTAGTGATAATGTAGTAAAAGTGACCGTTTGAATAGCCTGCCTGGAAACATCCTTCTGTTCGTCGCAGTCGGATACAGATCAGCTGTGCAGTTCATCATACATTGTACGAGGTCAATGCATTATCCTCCAGCACACATTTCCGATCATGTAGTGGATTTACAACTAAATGGGTGAGTTTCTTATTGATAATATTCTTCATATTTCTCTATCAAACAAATCTCTTACGTCCTTTAACACGATTATTATTTATTAAATTAGCTTTGCGAATCGCTCGTTGAATTCTGTTCAGACGCGGAATTATTTAAATTAAAATTTAATAAATTAACATTTTTGAACTTTGTTAATCTTCACCTTGCATTAAAAATTTCATATGGTACACATGAGGTGTCATGCACACCAGAATATTAAAACAGCTGCCATACTTATTATTTCGGGTCCGAAAAATTAGTAAATATTTTTCAGACATTCTGAAATAAG